TCCGAGCTGCTATTACAATTTTTTTCTTTTTTGTTATCCATAAATATTGAGCAAGCTTATTTTTCAAAATATTTTACATTATTAATGGTTATAGTTTACACAATTACTACGAGGTTAGAAGATATAACACTTAGATTCAAGTTACCCTTGATTATGAGGTGAAGGGAGAGTGTTAATAGTATTAATTATTATTCAAAAAGCCATCCTCATGTTCACGGCTTAATTGATTTGTTATTAACTCTTAACTATTGTGAAATTGACTTCAGTCTTAAAATCTGCAAATGTTCCTAGCTCTTGCCAAAATTCACAAAATGGAAATTAAGGTAAGTACTCAAATAGTCAAATGTATACCCGACGTATGTTAAATGACTCACCCTTGCAGGTTTTATAGTTATTTATATTTGTATACATTGATGAACTTAAGAAGCGAAATCTACAAATTACAATATTATGATATTGACAATGTATCATAGGTTTATAGTTTATATCATCTCGAACCTAACTGCAAATAATGCATTTTTAAGCATAACTTTCACTGTGCAATAACACTTTTATTTTTTTAGTATAACTAACATGAAAAAAATTATTATTGTTTTAAAATCGATTATTTTTATATTCGTCTAACTAGAGTAACTTTTTCCAAACGTTATATCAGAGAATAAAATATATTGCACACTAAAAGTTGTTTTATTTTTTGTGAACACATTTTTTTTTTATGTATCACTTTATTAGTCGCTTTTCGATTTTTCCGATGCAAAACCGGTTTTCTATCTAATTTTTTAGTTATGCAACAACTATTACAGAGAACCACTTTGAATTACTCGAATTAGTACCTATTTAATGATTTAATATATAAAATTAAAGTTTTTATTTAAAATTGTCAATGTAAAACCCCTAACATAACAAATGTGTGACGTCATCATAATATACAATTGTATTTTTAAAATTAATGGTCCATTTCGTTCCTTATCATTAATTTGATTGCTATTAATCTTGTAATAGGTACACACACTTCTTACGTCTTATATTAACCTATTTTTCACATGTAGGTACAATTTATAAAATAAACTTTCAGTAGTGAAACTTGTATGGACAATATAAATAGTAACAAATAGTAACTGTAAATATCGATGATTTTAGCATATTATATAATATGACGTGATTCGTTGACTTACGAATTTTGGCATAACTCATCATAATAAGTATAATAAGTTCAAAAAACGATTTCTGTTATACTATTATTTATACTTTCAATGCAGTAGAAGTTAATTTTTTTTTATGCATCTAAAATAATAGCTTAGTTTCCATAATCCACCGTCCATTAGAAAATAAATATAATCTATTGACTATAGGGGATTTCGTTTTAACGTATTGAGATATTTTTTATTTTTTAACCAATCTGTGTAGTGGATACGTCGATAATATTTTAATACATGACCATAAACTATAAAGTAAATATAATAACGTCGTGATCACAATAATTTCGATGCAGTAGTACCTACAATAATACTTATAGCCACTCCTGCATTATTATATTATTCAACAGTTTTGATTTTTTCTCCACCGATTGTCCTATCCCGTAACCTACGCCCTCCCAACACCGGTTCATCGTAGACAATGTCTTAGGCATTGTTCATAAACTACATAGAAGAAGGTTATTAATATTGTTATACGTACTAAAAACTAAACTATAGTTAGTAAGCTATAATATACATTATAAATTTATAACTGCATAACATTTACATAACGGAATCTTCGCGTCCGCGACAGGTGCGACCAACCGGTCCGTCTAGAAGATAAAAGAGATGGAGATTTGAGTAGTCGTTATGGTATTTATAATTATAATTTATAATGTACAGGGTAATTCACCAATCATACTCGTTCCTATTTTTCCATTTGAATTTGTTCATATTCTGATTTTTGAAATCTATACTTACACTACAAACAGTCCTGTATTTTCCAAACTTCGTATCATGAACCTACACAAAATTAAACAACTCAAAAACTACTAGTTACAATTTAGAAACAATTTCATTAGTGCCTACCTAATTCCTAGAAATATTTTTAAATTACCAAAAATCATTGCGTTTTTGAAGAAGAAAAGCCATGAGCATACTTGGTGAATTACCCTGAGTACCTATAATAATAATATAATATGTATTACGGGACATATCGTTCTAAAAGTACTCAGGTAGTGTTGTGTACGACCTATATATAGTATATACCTATTGATTTTTGTGATCGCGTGTCTCAGGAACAACCGTTCTTCGGAACGATTCACGACAGATTATTGTGACAAAAATTAATAATTGCAATGACCTGAAAAATCCAAACCGGAGTATTACTCGGAATGTTTCAATTAAAAAAAAACATATAGGTACCTAATATAATATGTAAACGCATGAGACTTAATTTGGCTTGATTTTCTTGGAGAGAGGATGAACTGTAACAATAAATTGTAGTTAATGCGTTGAGTTAAGGTTATAATAATAATAATAATTGTAACAATAGTAAGAAAATTACAGCATTTACTGCTACACTTTTATATAATATCAATTATCAATAAGTAGAGCCCGGAATTCAGCGGCGTAGCCAGGATTTTTTTTCGGGGGGGGCTGATCAATTTTTTACACAGCGGTGCATTAAATACCTATTAGCACGGCCGAATCTATAGAAAACTAACAAAATAAAGATGACAATTTAAAATTAGTAAAATACATTTTAAGACTTTTTGAGTGAATATTGTAGACTATTGAAATAATTTTTAAATTTTATTAACATTTCGGGGAGGGGAGCTGCAGCCCCTTCAGCCCTCCCCCTGACTACTCCACTGCCGGAATTATATTCTTTAAAAATAGACAAGATAAGATGCTAATATTCTCTTAAAAAGTTGAAAATATTCTTCCAATATTCTTTAAAAATCATAATAAAATATGCCAAGAATATGCTTTTTGCTTGGAACTAGTTATTTTTGTGCAGTAATTCCATTTTTTGTCGGGMATTGTTATCTTAGATAAGTCACATATCTTATATATACTACAGTGGATTGCAGCACATTACTACGTAGGGTATAACAATCGTATATACGATGGACGATGGTATACAAAATATAAAGCGTATATTTTCAATATCATATCATTATCATTATTATCGGACATAATATAATTTATATTATTTACGTCACTGCAACCAAAAATATCGAACATCTATACAAATTAATCGATATATTCTCTAATATTCTTTATTATACGAATATTATTCTTTTATCTTGAAGTATTCTCAAATATGCAAAAAAAAACTTTTGCTGTTATTACACCTGTTTCATGATTCGTAAAGAT